AGAGATCTACACGCTTCAGGTCATCTGGAGAGAGACCACCTCTTATATATATCCCAGACACCCCCCCACCACAGACCTCTGGGAGACCCCCCGGAGGGATGAGACGGGTAGATGTTCAGAAGGTAAAAGACCCTCTCTATCATTTTTGGGGGGTTACCAAAGAGAGACGACCTGTGACCCGAGCTACAGGACACCGCCCATCATAAGAGACCGCCGAACAAAGAGTTCTAGACGGACTGCAACCAATCGTAAAGGCTTATTGTCTACAGAAGTCGGAGGAGCTGAGTTCTGATTGGTTGCTATGGGTGACCGCAGGTTGTGCATTGCTCAGTGTGTCGTGCCTAGTGATAAGCAGTGAGGAAGTGGAAGACAGATCCCCTCCCCCCGGGCCTACTAGTCTTCCACTGTTCTCTCTAGGAACCTCAGGATGAGAAGACCCAATTCATCCCAAAGGGGTTCAGTAGGGTTGATGTCCGGGCTCTGTGCAGGACACAGGGGACAGCCATGGGGGGGGGGGGACAGAAAAGGGTCTTCACCACAAGGCCGGAAGAGCCCAATAGTCTACAATGTCTTTGTATGACGGAGGATCAACAGAACCTTCACTGGAGACACCTGAACCCCATTATTTGGAGGGATCTCCATGCACTTTAGCCACAGTCTGAACCATGTGATCTGAACCATAGGGGCCCATAGTCTATGAGGTCTGCACCATAGGAGCCCCCAGTCTATGAGGTCTGCACCATAGGAGCCCCCAGTCTATGAGGTCTGCCCCATAGGAGCCCATAGTCTATGAGGTCTGCCCCATAGGAGCCCCCAGTCTATGAGGTCTGCACCATAGGAGCCCCCAGTCTATGAGGTCTGCCCCATAGGAGCCCATAGTCTATGAGGTCTGCCCCATAGGAGCCCCCAGTCTATGAGGTCTGCACCATAGGAGCCCATAGTCTATGAGGTCTGCCCCATAGAAGCCCATAGTCTATGAGGTCTGCCCCATAGAAGCCCATAGTCGATGAGGTCTGCCCCATAGGAGCCCCCAGTCTATGAGGTCTGCACCATAGGAGCCCCCAGTCTATGAGGTCTGCACCATAGGAGCCCCCAGTCTATGCAGTAGAGCCCCCTCACCCACCCTCATGCGTTCACTATTTGATCTTAAGGGAACTCAGCACAGGGATGGTGGGGGCCCCTCATAATGGGCACAGCGGGTGTACAGACCCGGGAACTCAGCACAGGGATGGTGGGGGCTCCTCATAATGGGCACTCGGAAGACATAACATCTCTGGCCCGGTAAACCGTGTTGGTCTGATTCCATGTGCTGGCCTCGGTTCAGGTTGAGGGGGCTGCGTGTGCGCGCCGTGTATCCATGACTCCCTTTGCACATGGCAGTGCCGTCCTAGCCGGGGGCCGGTTGCAATATCTGGTCAGGTGTTTTCCGCTCAGCTGATTGGAGGAGGAAGACTCCTATCCTGGCTGCCCCCCTCCCCTCACACGCTCCCTTTCCAGCCGCAGCGATTTTCTTGGCGTCTCTCTCGGGTAATGTGATTGCTCGGTTACGTAACGCCGATGTGTGTTTACTCTTTGTACATTGCCGAGTCGTGCCGTAATGATGTATCGCTTCCCGTCTGTAGCACATGTCAGGACACAGTGTACAGCTTGGGACTTCCTGGAAGGTGTTACATTTCAGCAGTCACCAGGACTTGAGGGAGTGGGTCAGGTCCAGGCAGGGGACGAGGCAGCTGAGAGAGTGGGTCAGGTCCAGGCAGGGGACGAGGCAGCTGAGGGAGTGGGTCAGGTCCAGGCAGGGGACGAGGCAGCTGAGAGAGTGGGTCAGGGACGAGGCAGCTGATAGTGGGTCAGGTCCAGGCAGGGGACAGCAGGTAGAATAGTGGTCAGGTTCAAGCAGGGGTTGAGGTAGGCAGCAGGTGAGAGTAGTCCGGCCCAGATTTAAAAAAAAAAAAATCAAAGTATGTCCAGCCAGTCATCGCTGTTCCCTACTGAAAGGTCTTTGTTTTATGCCCACAGGCCACTGACTCACCCATGGAAGACACCGAGTCCTCAGATTTCCTGTCCTCATCGGACTCCCTCTGGTCTTCAGCCAGCACCACCACCTCAAACCACCATGAGGACCCAAGCTACGTGAGCTTTGACGTCTTCCTCTCCGAAGGCATGCCGGCACCCGCCAAAGGCAAGAAGGACTTTGAGGCTGTGCGCATGATCCCGAACTCTCAACTGACCAGCGCCAGCCACCCGGTCCTAATCCACCTAGAGAACGAGTACCAGGCCAGGAGGTCCTTCTGGCATCAACATACGGGACAGTACTGCAGTTATTCCGGAGAGGTGGAAGGTTGGAGCTCGTACCCAAGCAAGAGTAAGCTCACGGGGAGGGGATCGCCTGTGACGAGCAGAAGGCAAGACAAGCAGCTGAAGGACTTGGTGTTCCCTGATGGATCAAATTATGAGGCCCATCAAGGACTCAAAAGGCAACGAATACAGGATGCTACTTTGCTTGCCAACCGGTGGAAGGAGAGAAAAGAGAAGGACTTTCCCATATCCGATGGAGATCGCCTCTTTGCCGAAAAGGTAAGAGGCTTAAGAGTTCAAGTTCAGTCAGGTTTTATTGCCTACTGTCCCATTGGGGAGATCTTCCCTCACTTCCTGTCTTGGTGACAAAGGATCAGAAGTTCTAACCAAAATGTGTTTTAGGTTTTGTCTAAGGCAGGTGATGGGGCAACACCTTTTAGGGGTTCTCTGGGCTTGTGTCAACCTGGGGCAGTAAAGCCCAATAAGGGGGGGTGCATACGTTCTGTCATGGGGCCCCAATCACGGCAGCTCATGTGTAATAGGTTCCTGGTGGTGGGGGCGGGGTGTTCATTGATGATACGTTGGCGGTATTAGTGAAGGAGCTCATTGCAGACCTGTGTATCGGACACGAGTATGAAGCTGGATTGTGCGCTGTGATCCTCTCGGCATTACATTAATCCCGCAGGCTGATACAGCCGCCGTGGCCTGGTGAGGAAGGTAGTACGTGCATAGTCATTGATGCAGCAGAGGAATCGGTACGGCAAGCGGCCAACTTTATATAAAAGGTCTTTATAGGAATACTTTTAAGAGGGGACCGGTCAGCCCATGGATGGAGGCCCAATAAAGAAGCCTCGGCCTCTACGTTGGCTGAGCAGTGGCGGTTAAAGTAGACGTAAGCCGAACCTGAATGACCACTGATGACATTGTATATTACCGGGAGGG